ATGATGACGACAGCGATGAAGAGGAAGAGGTATGTTCTATTAACCTTCTGTTATTTACTTTTAGAATCAATGCTAACATGACTTCAACAGGTCGCCGAAGCTGGTAATTGCGCCCATCTGCATCACTGAGAACCGTGAATTAAGCTAACCAGCGCGTGTAGATGAGGATGGCATGGAAGAGATCGATCTCAACAATATTGTTGAGGGTCGCCGAACCCGAGGTGCCCAGATCGACTTCGCCAAGGCCGCTGAGCAACACCCTGCCGAGGACGAGGATGAGGAAGACGACGAGGACTTCCAGCCCGCCGAGGACAAGGACACCAAGATGTCCGATTAGATGCACGTCACGACTTTTCCTCTGACGAACGAATCTTTACAGGGCGGATATGGGCACGATGTTATGATTTTGGGACTGAACAATAAACAAAAGGGATAGGGCGTGGTTGATTATACCTGTTTACCCATGACCCCCAGATATATACTCGGGGGTCTAGGCGGCATGGAGTCGTGGATAGCATCGGCCGCCTTTAGCATTTATATGCTTTGCATATATACTGTACACCTACAGTCACATGCAATTAGAGCAATAAGAAATGACATTAATACAGTCAAAAACTCGGTGTTAAAGTGAGGAGTTTGCGATGTTTCTCACTAGCTTTAGTACAGTGGATGTCGTAGCTACGCTTAAGCTCCCAAGTGTTAAGCGTGCAGCATGCTCACTTTTGTAGCTTACACATGCCAATTACTCAAAGTAATAATACAAGCTTCGTAGCTTAAGTGAACTCGATACTTTAGTAGTTCAACAACATGTCAGATCAATAAATAATCTGTCCTCAAATCCAGACTCCTAGGAAGAAAACAACCCATGACACGGGATTGGACAGCCCCTCGGTACGTATCTTCCGTACTCCCCCAATGAGCCAGAGTCAGACCGCTGTCATCGGATCGGCCGAGAGAACACCTAAGAAAAACAGCCAGGGTATCGTAGGGGGCAGAACCCAAGATTCGCGAACCCCTCGATAATTCTTTGAAACTTCATCCCCTAAATTCACAATCCGCCTCTTGGCTTTGCTTTGCCAGCTGCTTGGTATCGACTGAATAGCCATGGCGCAACGGTACGACATCCTCAAGTACATGTGGCAAACCTGCATGACTACAACCTCATGATGGTCGAATTTAGAGGACAATTAACTGACTGCGCATTGTTAGATTCGGCGCTTCGTCGCTTCACCAGCGTGATTCGCGCAGCGCTCTCTTCGAAGGATACACTGGCGACGCAGCCTCACGACGACCCGTCAGCGCAAGCCCAAGTCGAGGATATGGCTATGGCGGATACGGCGCCCCCTCGCCCTCTCCCCTAGGACAGAGTGGTTACGATGCCTCGAGGCCTGCTTCGTTTCGCTCCGCGACGCCGAACAGGAGGGGTCAGTACAGCGATGCGGTGCTTAACGAGCTGGAGAGCCAGAACGATGCGCAGGTAGAGGGTATTCTGGGCAAGGTCAAGGTGCTCAAGGATGTGAGTTTCCCCTATATTCAAGTTACGACATGGCTGGGAGACTGACAGTTTGTGTTTAGATGACTGTCGCTATCGGAGACGAGATCCGCGAGTCTTCGGCGCTGGCGGAGAAGATGAACGATACTTTCGACTCGACACGCCTGCGTCTCAGGGGCACCATGAACCGCATGCTTGTTATGGCTCAGCGCACTGGAGTGGGATGGAAGGTCTGGCTGATCTTCTTTGCCGCCGTCATCATGCTCTTTATCTACGTATGGCTATTTTGATCACGCACGACCTAGTCACGATTCTCGATACTCGATGGCTTTGACGAACTACCGTTTGGCTGCGAAAAAAGAAAGTAGGAAAAAAGCTGTACGATTTGCATTCCGAATTGGCGTTTGGCTGGGCGTTTTGACATTTACAAGTACTGCATGATGATCCGGGATATTGGGCAGGTACAGGAGAAGCATCACATCATGCAACGACCAAAGTTGCTCCTTTACAAACATTGTAATCACTTCTGGGCAAGCCTGTGGCAAGCACACTGCGGCAAAGCAGAGAGCGCTCAAATTCTTCAAATATGTCTTTGGTAATGAACAATGAATGGGTATATAACAATGCTGCCTAAACTATTCCTATCTATCTGATTGTGGTCGTGTCGCATTAGTCGTAATTGTATTATTGACGGGCACGGCGCCCGGCAGGACTGCTATGCATGAAGCTGCTGCCGTCTTGTGAGAGAAGGTTGCTCAGATCCATGCTGGCGCGAGGATGTGACATGGTCGAACGGCCGCCGTGGAATGTAGGTGAAAGTGGCGGTGGGAGAGTCGTAGAGCGAGGTTGGAAGCTGGTGTCAAAATCGTCTGCCTCTTCCTCATCCTCGCTGCTGGATTGCTGTTCGCTGCTTGAGATTTCGGCTTCAGAGTCAGTGTGCTCGTAGCCTTGACTCTCTGCCTCGGGAATCTCCTCGTCAAGATCCGCATCCATATCCATGCCAAGGTCGTCTTCCTGAGCAAAGTCGTCTTCGTCAAGAAGTTGGCCATTGGTCTCTTCCTCTTCGTACTCTTCCGTGTCGCCGTACATGTCGTTGGCATCTGGTTCGCCCCGGACAAGTGCTTCGCGGAAAGCGTCGTCGCCCATTCTCATGCGTGCAGCCATAAGATCGTTCTGGCGCTCAGCTCTTACGGCTTCATCGTCGTCCGTCTCCTCGCCATCTTCCTCTTCCTCTCCATCCTCCTCTTCGTCCTCTTCCTCTTCATCGTCGTCATCGTCGCCAAAGCCATAGCCCTCATCAGCATCCGGGATCTCATCGTCTAGGTCTTGAGCTCCGTCAAGCTGTACATCATCCATCGTTCCATCACCAGGGGCACCTTCAGCTTCGGCCTCAGCTAGCTCCTGTGCCAACTGTTCTCGACGCATTGCTTCTTGATGCTCTTCCTGCTCGCGCTTCTCTTCGCGCATCTGATGTAGTGTCTTGGGGACACCTGGGGGCTTCAGCCAGCCGCTTCCGTAATTCTGAACATTTAATCTTCTCCGGTTCATATACTGCTCGTCTGCAGCAAGTCGGGCGAGAGCTGATCGCTCGATGATTTTGGTGCGTTGCCGCGCCTGATTTGCGCCATGTTGTTGATTATGCGATCCTTCATTGAAGTCGTCGAGAGGCCCTGGTGGGATATAGGGATTGCGAGAAGATCTGTACCATAGAGAATGCGACTAGCAATTGTCAGCATGTGAGATTGGTTCAATTTAGAAAAGTCTTACATCTCGCGGTGTAAAGTCCGGTAGTGTGGTGAACATGAAAGGTGATTGCAGGACGCGCTCGCGTCAAGGTTTGGTTGCAGCTGTGTGCTATTCGTGAAGTTGTATCTGCATTGGATTTCCAGGCCAACCTAAAGTTAGGTACGGTACCTATCAATAATGGCGGGGCAGCTCACGCCATAGACGCGACGACGCGCTTAGTAGCCGCCATGGGTGGAAACCCGCTGTCAAAACAATGCAACGTTAAAAGAGCTTCAATGACATTCACTTGAACGGGAATTCGGCAGTTATTTGGATGGATTGATGAGATACTAGCTACAAGGAGGGTGGTCAGAAATGTGAATCGGTCAGACTGTCGTGCCTTCAACATAATATTTCTCAGCGGCTATGTCGGCTTGGGATGAGTGGTTTATAGCAAATATCCTTTGGTTCTAGACTCATGTAACTTATCCGTAATGTCTTTGGGAAATGAAACCCCCAAAGAACAACTGCGACTCTGTCGATCTAGAGTTATACTGCAACTCACCGCCTGCTGAAGCCAAGCCAAGCTTGCTGTATGTACGACGTCCATTCGCATTCTGCCTTTTATCATCCGATCGCCAAAGAACTCACAGGACAGTTTGATGGTTTATTCATTTTGTGAGGTAACTGAATCACCGATGTTTGGTGTGCCTGGCTTTACATGGATGGCATCTCGACAAACTCCTGCAGCGTTGCTTGCGTTTTTTGCGCTAGAACCCTTGTCCTGCTTCATGCAAAGAATGATGCCGGGTCAGTAAGCTAACTAATTCATACCTTGTTAGGTACGGACAGCAGAGGAGCTACAGCATGAGCACTTTGGAGTTGGATGGCTGTCGGGAGAAGTCGGAATGACTATGTAAGGCAAACATAGAGGAAGAAAGCAACTCCGGGATTTGGCCGCAAAGACCGTCGGTGTCACTCCGTTGACTAGGAATTGAGGTCTTTTTCTTGCTGTTATTTCTTTGGGGGCGGTAGCCCGGCGATCGGGAACTCGAAGTCTGGGCATTTGGCCTCTGGTTCATAGGCTGAATGAGGCTCGGATTGACGGCTCCGCAAGCCCGTAAGATCCAATGCACTCACTGCAGAGAGCAGCTCGTACAGTAGAGCCCCAGGCAGGCTACAGCAGCTCGCTCTCGCCGAACTCGCTATGGTCCACATAGAAGCTCCGCACAAAAGAAATCGACCAACTGCGCTGCTTGCTTTGATATTTATAATCTCTCGACTCTTGATTTGAGCTGTTGTCGGTATCCATTCGACCGCTGGTCTAGTAGTACGTACCTATCATAGTATTAACGCCGAGAGATAAGCAATGTGGCTCCCACGCTAGGAAATACGGCGTACAGTAACAGATCTGGCCGTATTGCTTGGAAATGCGACCGAGTTGAAGTGTTTCGCCTGTGGTCCAGCCATACATTGGAGTTTCCAATGGCTGAGCTCTTGTGCAGATATCAGCAACGGATGATAATTGCCGTTGCTTACCATGCATCAGGAACATAAACAACCTTCTCCAGGACTGTGCCAGATGTCTAATTGTGAGGTGTCGCCTGTCTTTTTCCCCAGACATGTGCTTCTTCACCACTAACGGAGGCTGTCTCTCTGCTATTGGCTGCTTGTCCTATACCGGTTCGGGTTGCCAAACGAAGTGACGTCTTTAATGCAAGCCCAACTGCAACATTAACAACAGAGAGCAGGCCAGGGTCCCCGCAGGGACTCCCGAAGCATGGTGAGACAGAAGGCAGAGGCAGAGAGAGTTACATCTGCGCGATGGCGTCGACTAAAAGACGGCGCTACCAGTTCCTAGACGATCTTGTTCTGTCTTGGCACGCACTAATGGATGCCGTGTGGTGTGTGTGAACGGCACGACACGACCTCTGCTTGTTCTGTTTTAGTGCTCAGCCAGAGATAGGGAAACGGTGGTTGGTTCGAGATAAGGAAGATGCATGAGTCGAGGGAACATGATTGGTTATTTCTTTTAATTTTATGTTGTCCATCTTTTGACTATGAAGTGTGAGATAATGGGGTGACGGCGATGAATATCACACGTCTGTCTAAACTGCATCTATGATTCAAGGCTCTGAAATGTCGCTCTGGTAATTGAACCGAAGCCTGGCTGGAGTCTAGAGATGGGGTTTAGGACCTCGGCTGCCTGCTCTGGCTCTGGTCCTGGCTCTGAGATGCGCTCGGCGACTCTCGAGAAAACACCCCGAGATCCTCCACTACATATGCAGTATAGTCTTCTCACGCCAACGTTAAAAGAGGGATATTTGGGTATTGCATCTGGTAATACTTGCCTTCCATTGTTGAGGCAAATAAAACAGACAGGGAAGAAAAGTGTCTCATGCTTGTGTCGACGTGGCATACATAGCAGAGAAAATCCTGAAGATCAAAAGCCAGGCTACAGTACCTAAACACCAAACCTGGATAGTTTGTATAGGCCCGTTATAAAGGCATGGTTCTAGTTTGCCTGTCACACCAGATGACAACACATAAGCATAATGTCGTAGCAATCTTGCCTTTGCATTTGCATACACACAGAACTGTACGTAGGGACGCGGAGGGCATCTCAAAGTCATCCGGGCTGTGCCTCAAGCGGAATCACATCTCAAATCTCGTACATCACGACGGAACAGATTGGATGCAACATCCAGCTCCTCGGAGGATACAGTACTACAGTACAGTGGTCTAGCCTGTAATGAAGGATGGGGGTTCCATTTAGACGAATCAGACCCGCATTAAACTCCCCCGTACTCTTTAGTCTGTACGTCAAGGGCCTTTCATTCATCGCCTTGCCTTACTGTTTCCTCAAGAGAGGCAAGAGAACAACGTGGGCGCGACATCGGCTTTGAAAAGAACAGGCCATGATTGGCGTCGCAAGTTGAGAAGACGAAACAATCCCTGCAGAGAGGAAGGTTTAACGTTCCAGACGGCGTCGCACGGATTGGCAGCATCTTCCCATCTTCCAGCCATTCGGCGCCATTGGATCTTTAACCAGACCCTGGGCCCCCATTAACTGTCCCATCCTTGTCTCTACGGTAGTCAAAGTGCGGTCGTAGGTGGTTGGCTCATGGTTAGCGGCAAAGCAATCCATCCCTCGACCACAATTTCTCTTACACGAAACCATGTTGCAAACCTATTCACAGATTGACAGCTTGGCGATAGATATCAATTGCCAGCCTGGAATTGATTGGGTGGCTCTCGAGGCTCAGGTCTCACTGTCTTTACTCTCTCCACGTCGGTTAAAACAAATTAGGCTTGAGATGAATGCGGAGAGCGGAGCATAGCATAGGGAGAGAGCGGAGAGGGGAGGAATCGATTCCAGCGGGAAATAAGAGCGGCAAGGTCGGAGAGGGAACAGGAAATGAGGCCATTCGTGGATGTTATGTACCTAGGTATGCACTATGTAGTGATGTCTATTCTAGTCAATTGGCTGGCTGTAGACAGGTTCATCGAATGCATTGACTACTTTCTATATTGATGAGGGTTGCAAACGAAACACACGTGTCGTCAAGTCAGATCAGATCAATGTCGAGTGGGTTGATTGGCATTCACCCATCGTGGGGAGCCAGCCTAACGTTAGCATTATGAGGGGATACATGGGGATTTATGGAGGACCCTACTATACAACAACGGGAAATCATTTTGAAATAGATACATCGCCACTATTCGATCGAAAAGCACGTTGCCTTCTTTATTCAAATACGTAGCCACCGGTAGATCTCAACCCTCCAAGAACGTAGATCTAAGATACATGGAGGAAATGGCTGCAAAAGCGCACTTGACTCGTCTACTACCGCTTACTAGCAAAAAGTGATAATCAAAGATGCGCGTTTTCGCCTCCAAGGAGGATGCCCTGGGAGGTGCCGATCTACGGAGGAGGGTGAACGGAATAGTCCTACCCTTGAGAGATGAGATGGACCGGGGCGGAGCGGCGGACGGTGAGGCTTCAGTTTTTTATTTCGGAGGAACTTCCGAAGGGTGAGATTGAGAAGGTTGTGGGATGATCTTGGGGATGCTGGCATGGATGAGTGCGCTTTGATGCAGAGACTGGGAATATTTGAACGAATTGAGGAGTTTATTAAGACATATTTAATATAGTAAATCTGTAGAACAACGTGATTTATACCTGGAGAGCCTATTGCCAGGTTTCCCCAAGCCTCATTCAAATGCCTAGTAAATAGTCTTGACCGGTGCAGGGTATGACGCCGAAAGGAGAGACATGAGTTCTTAAGTACTTATTGAGCTTCCTCTTTCTGACCCTATTAACGTGATCTTCCCCAGAGAGTGGCATGTCAATAGAATGATGGTAAATGCCTGCATCCTCATTTGCTTGCGGTTGATTCCTGACATGTGCGTTCATTTTCTTTCCTTTCCGCTCCGCCAATTAATGAATTCCCTAGCTAGACTTTTGGCTGCATGGACAAAGGAAACGGTACCTAGTAAATGGGGCCACGGCAGGGTCCATACCTACGACCTACATGTGCTGCGTGCAACCCACTTCGGGTTCGGAGCCAGCACGCCGAAGACGTAGGTGTAACTTGTAAGAGCAGATGCAACGAGAATAATTGGATGTCTTTTTCATCGTCTACGTTGGCATCATAAAAGAATTGTCATAGAGGAAACAAGGTTCAGATGAAAGAGGAGGCTGAGAGTCAGTAGCTAGACTGAACTAAATAGACGGTTTGGGATTGTACGTAGATATAGTCTACCTACATCACTATTCAATTTTCATGTGAAATACCATCTTTTCGACCCTATATGAATGGGTGAGAGTCTATCTGTTGTACCAAATCTCGAATCGAAGCAACATAGGATCATCAACATCATCTTTGAACCCCCCACTGTCTACCAGCTCCAGTACATAGACAAGGTATGGATGACATGGACTGCTATGCATAACCCCCATATTCATATTTCGCTTCTCTTGGTTTGCTCTACTCTGCTTCTCTGCTCTACAATCTACAGTAACAAACCGCAAAGCCCTACCTACTCCAGATATACGCCCCTCCCACTACTAGCTT